TGGCAGAGAGAAGATTAGAATACAGATTGACTTAAGTCCTGAGCCCAGCACTGCCCTATAACAATGACTCTCAACTGGGTGACTTTCCCCAAGGGGACATTTCACAGTGTCTGCAGAGACTTTTGGTTGTCACAACAGAAGGATGCTGCAAATGGCATCTATTCGATTATATGTAGTAATATCTAGAGGCCAGGGATGCTGCTAAACATCCTACAATGTACAAGACAGTCCCCCACAACAAAGAATTATCCAGTCTCAAATGCTAGTGTTGCCAAGGTTGAGAAACCCTGCACTACATGAAGCAATATCCCACAGAAGATTCGGTAAAAGTGATGAGTGAAGACAAAAGAAGGAAAGAAGAATGAACACAGAGGATTCAGGCAAATTGTCATGCTAGGTTATGGTCATCTCCAGGTAATCTTGGGAAGATCCTTAAAAGGCAGTATTTGCAGAGGAAAAGGCCATGGCTCTGGAATTGGTTCAGTCTGGTTTTCAAAGCTTGTTGTATACTGACTGGTAGGCTCATGATGGTGAACAAACTGCTGAAACCCTTGGGCCACAGTTTCCCCTTGGTGAAGAGGGCTCAAAATGGATGTTGTGCAATATTATTACAAATATTAAATGTACATAGGCACCCCCAAAATTGAGAGATATCTTCCCTGAAAAGTTTTCAAAATAGGGTTTGGATAGCAAAAAAAATGGGGGAACAGATGTTGGAACAGAATGCAGCAATGTCTGTCTCAGCTGTGTAGCAAAGGAAGGACTTGAAGACAGATCAAGTCCTTCCTCTATCCCTTACCTGCTAAGTGACTTCCACAGGTCTTCTAATTGCTTGGAATATCAATTTATTCTTATGAAAACTGGAAACAATGGACATTATAGAGTTGATGAAGATCAAACTAGATCCCTACATAGGTAACTAGAGCACCACTAAATATAATAACTGGTCTCTAATAAAACCCCCACAAATATTAACTAAATCTATTAATCTCATATTCTTTATATCACAGACACTGAAGCTATACAGTAGGTGAAAATTCTTTGCATCCCAAATGGTGAAGAGCTACATATCAAACAAACAATAAAAAACAGAGGGCTGAATGTAGAGCAGGGCCCCCTTCTCTGACTTCTTCTAGCACAGAAGCCACAGGATGTACCATATTACCACATATTACCAGTAACTATTCAAGATCCTCTTCGGCTATAAACTCAAACCATACTCTAACACTAACAACATATTCACCAATGCAATCCTCAAGAGTCATGTGAGGGGAGTTGTGGTGAGACGAACACCATGGTAGGTCAAGGTTTCTCACAGGAAGAGGAATAGAAGCTGGGAGTCTGTGAGAACCTGGGGCTGGGAGAGGTTGCAGAGCCTGCCAGCATCTACGCATTCAGTCATGGGTGGAAGAGTTGTGACCATACTCACTCTGAGACTAGTGCTCCCTCACTGTGCCCAAGATGCCTCCCATTGATTTTCTGTTCTTTATACACCCTCAGCTCAGGACTCTGCTGAGGGACAGAAGCCTTGTAGCACTCTTGATTAAGTAATTAACCTAATAGGTGGAATGTATGTTAATAATGGGAATATGGAGAACTGTCCTTTCCCAAAGGAACAGCCAAGAGTCTGTCAAATTTATAGTGACTAGCTACAAGGTTCAGTAGAGTGGGCATTTTATTTGGAGAGGAAGCTATAGTGAAAGTTGATGTGGGCCTGATATTTTCACAGCTGATAAATTCCCACTGTTGAAATGTTTCAGGTGCGGGCAAGATGGAAGCCAACTTCTCCATCGCTCTGAATAGATCTGATGAGATGCTCCAGGAGTCTACTGGCTACACTGTTGTGCAGATTATCTCATTGGTGATTCAAGGGATCACCTTTGTTCTCGGCATCCTGGGCAATGGGCTTGTGATCTGGGTGGCTGGGTTCCAGATGGCACGCACAGTCACCACCTTGTGTTACCTGAACTTGGCCTTAGCTGATTTCTCTTTCCTGGTCACTCTACCATTCCTCATGGTGTCAATTATCATGAAAGATCAATGGCCTTTTGGCTGGTTCCTATGCAAGTTAATTTACATTGTAGTGGACATTAACTTGTTTGGAAGTGTCTTCCTCATTGCTTTCATTGCTCTGGATCGCTGTATTTGTGTCCTGCACCCAGTCTGGACCCAGAACCACCGCACTGTAACTCTGGCTACAAAACTGATCATTATACCCTGGATCCTTGCACTAGTCTTTACCTTGCAAAATTTCATCTTCTTGACTACAGTAAATATCAGTGGGAATGTGTACTGTAGTTACATCTTTGCAGGGACTGAACTAACCTTTTCACGCGTTTGGGTGGGAGTGATGACCATCATACTGAGATCTAGAGGGGTCATCCGGTTTGTCATTGGCTTCACTATGCCAATGTCCATCGTAGCTATCTGCTACGGGCTCATTGCTGTCAAGCTCTCTAAAAAAGGTATGCTTAATTCCAGCCGTTCCTTACGGGTTCTCACTGCTGTTGTGGTTTCCTTCTTTGTTTGTTGGTTCCCCTTTCAACTGGTTGCCCTTCTGCACACAATTAGGCTCACAGAGCTGTTGTTCGGGAGTACGTACAAAATCCTTACTATCCTGACTAATCTACTGAGACCCTTGGCATTCTTCAACAGCTGCCTCAACCCAATGCTCTAT